TCAGGGCTGGAGAGATGGCTCAGCTGTTAAGAGCACTGGCTGCTCTTGCAGATGACCCAGGTTTGATTCCTAGTACCCACATGGCAGCTAACAATGGTTCATGACTCCAGTTCCAGGGTAATTCAACACCCTCTTCTGCTGTCTTTGGGTATTGCATGACATGGGTGCACTTAAATACATGTAGGCAATACACACACACACACAATAATATTAATAATAATAAAATAATAATAAATAAAATACTTTAACAAAGAAAACTCATCTCAAAGAATAAAGTGAAGAGTGATTAAGGAAGGCATCTGACATTGACCCCTGCCCCCCCAACACACACACACAAAAAATAAATTGGAATTTTAAAGAGCCAATACAAAGCATGCCTGTGCTACCGGCACAGAAGAAATAGAAATATAGGAACAGATATGGAATCGGGCAGATGAAGACTGAGCTATCCCTTTGTTGCTGATGAATCTACTGGAAACTATGAAACTATGGCTCAGATGAGAGGACCAACTGAGTGTGACAACATCATATTCCAAAGCTAAGTGTATTCACAACAGTGCTGTATAACTCCTGTGCAACCCCCCCCCCCCGCCCCTCAAGAAGTCTGCCCCAGTAGAAAGAACCGAGGGGATCAGAATAAGTGACCTCTGAGACAGGTTGACCCCAAAGTCAGAGGGAAGCATGGGGAGAGATGATCCTTCACTTACAAGCTCTTTTCAAGACTTCCCCTATTGGAGAAACCACTCCACCGCCTTTGAGAGGAGAGAGTGAAGCAGAAAAAGCATGAAAACCCAAGTTCCTCTTACTGGGAAAGTAAAGGGTAAGTGACTTAGTATGCTCTTGTTACTGAGGAACAAACCAAGGCTGTGCTTCTCTGGTGAGACTGATGAGCAGGGGATGACCACATACTGCACATGCCTCACTAGAGATGCATCCTGAGGGTCTCAGGAGCTCCTAGCCAAGCATCTTTGATGAACACTATCTCAATCTGATAAGAGCTTCCTGCATAGAGTGATTTCTCTTATGGGAAACTGGAGACTTGGTGGGGAAACCTGGGCTTTCCCCTAGCTTTAGGACTAGCCTTGGAGGCCGTGCATGTGCTGCCCTTTGACCAGGCAGACCCTTTCCTGGGAGATTCAGAGGTTGTTCAGTGCTGTTGTGACTCATACTTACCTCAAGCTAATTTCTGATATGACACCAGCTTCCTGAGCTTATAAGTATTGCTGCTGCTTAAGAGTGTCTAGCCCAGCACCCTGCTGCCAGATGACTCCAATACTGGTTGGTGTGGGGTTTTTTGTTGTTGTTGTTTGTTTTTTTGTCAATTTGACACAAATTAGAGTCACCTGGTAAAAGGGAGCCTCAATTGAGGAGTTTCCTCCATCAAACTGGCCTGTGGGCATGTCTGTGAGACATTTTCTTGATTGTTGATTGATGTGGGAGGGCCCAGCCCACTATGGGTGGTCCTGGGTAATTTAAGGAAGCAGGCTGAGCACAGGCCAGAGGAGCAATTCAGTAAGCCATGTTCCTTGGTCTCTACTTCAGCTCCTGACTCCAGGTTCTTGCCTGAGTTCCTGCCCTGACTTCCTTCCATAATGAACTATAAGCTACAAGATTAAATTAATCTTTTAACTTAGTGTTTGAATTTTTAAAGACTGTGGGATTTTAAAGTTGAACTGTATTTTATATTATGATATTAACCTGAGATCTTAGGGACAAACAAGGAAAGAAATGTTATGACTTAAAATGATATGTTTGTGTGTCAAGTTGACAGACTCAATTAATTGTGCTGGTTAATTTTTTTCTCAACCTGACAGAAACTAGAGTCACCTGGGAGGAGGCAACCTCAATTGAAGAATTTCTTCTATCAGACTGGTCTGCAGGCATGTCTGTGAGGCATTTTCTTGGTTACTGAATGACATAGGAGGTCCCACAGCTGTGGGTTGTATAAGAAAGCAGGCTGAGCACAGGCCAGAGGAGTAAGCCAGTAAGCACCGTTCCTTTGTCTTTAGTTCCTGCCTCCAGGGTCCTGCCTCAGCTCCTGTCCTGACTTTCCTTGATGGTGAACTGTGACTACGGAAGTATAAGCCAAATAAACTCTTTCCTCCTCAAGTTGGCTTTTGTCAGTGTTTTACCACAAGAACAGAAAGCTAACTAGAACCGCACTGAGCAGGCACCTCTGTGCTGAGGGCTATACCTTGCCTGTCACACAGCCCCTCCCTGAGAACGCCAAGAAGGGCAGGGTGATGGCAAGTCTGCTTCCTCAGCCTCAGCTTGTTCAGAAGCAAGGCTCACCAGCTGAGCTCTGACCTCCTTCCAGCCATAACCCTCTGTGCCCTCCTTTGGGATCCAAACCAGCCAGTTGTGTCTTGCTTTGAACTGATTAACTGCCATTCATCTACTTGAGTGGCCAGAAGAACAATTTTTAGAAAAGGAAAAAAAGAAGGATGATTATCCCCACTGACTCAGGGGAAGAACAGCACAAAACTGTGAGGGGCCCACGTATTACTCTTCTTATTGCTGTGATCAAAATACCTGACAAAAATCAACATAAGGAAGGCAAACATTTCTTTCTGCTCACAGTTTAAGGGTACAGCAGGAATGTTCAGGCAGCTGGTCACATTGTATCTGTAGTTATAAAGCAGAGAGACATGAATGCCTGTGCTCAGCTTGCTTTCTTTTCATTAATTCTAGAACTTCAGCACATCCAAAAGTGCCACCCACATCTAGGGTAGGAATTCCCACCTCAATAACTCAGTCTAGAAACTCCCTCACAGACATGCCCAGAGGTTTATTTCCATGGTGGTTCTAAATCTTACAAAGTTGCAAATCAAGATTAACCATCACAGATTATATTATTGGATATTTACTTCCAGGCACCTTCCATGTGTGTGTGTGTGTGTGTGTGTGTGTGTGTGTGTGTGTGTTCACATGAATGCAGGTGTCCGTGGAAGTCAGAAGGAGTTGTACCCCCTGGAGCTGGAGTTACAGACAGTTGTGAGCTGCCTGATGGTGGTGTTGGGAACCAAACTGAGGTCCTCTGGAAGAGTAGCAATTTCTCTTAACTGCTGAGCCATCTCCTGAGCCCCCCAAACAATAATTTTTAACTCTGGCTTTGTAGAAGGCAAGAAGATAGTCATAAATTCTTTGGATAAACTGATGAAAGTCAGAGACATTCCCTAAAAATGCACACAAACATGCAATGTATTAGCATATATGTATATGCATAAACATGTTCTATAGTATCTTCTATATGAAATAAATATAAGCTCTATATATGTTTATAAATTATATATATACAATACCATATATGTGATTGTTTTATAGACATTTTTAAACAGTTTTATACTCTGTACTATATACATAATATTAAAACTCCTTTGAAATATATATACATATTTATATACACACACCAGAATATGAACTTCCTTAAATCATACAGTATTTTAGAAATATATAGGACATTAAATATAGTTTGGGACAAAAGAAAGATTTCAATTGGCCTAAAAAGAATTAAATCTTTCTTTTAATAAATTGATATCCCGGTTCTCTTAAAGTTTAAATAAAGAAAATTGAAACTATGTAAAAGATATGACAAATTAATTGAATCAGCAACAAAATTGTTTCTGTAATTAAACTCATATTTAAGTCTGAGTTTCTAGGCAACCAAGATTAAAAAGGAAAACAGGAAGAGCAACCAGTCATCGAGAACTACGCATTAAGAACCATGGAGCAAACAGAAAAATGTATAAAAGATGAGCCTGCTCCTTAAGAAGGAGCAGTTTTTATTTGAAAAATTCAGAGGCTGCAGCAAGGGCAGAGATGTACAATTGCTTGCGCATTCCATGGAGTCAGCTGGTATTGTGTGACATCGAGAGATCATAGCTTAAGGGGAAACAGAGGTAAGATTCATGAAAGGATGACAAACTAGCTTTGGAGGGAATCCAGTATGCAAGGCGTGGCTGTGCCATATCAACCCACCCTTTCGACAGGCAGATGGAGGGCTTGCAGGAAGAGACCCCCATTTCTGTCTTCTTCTCAGGGAGTGTTTCTTGAGTTCACAGGTGTCATTACTGCTAGTTGCTGGCACTTTCTTTAGGAGAATCGGTTCTGGAATAGCTGCAGAATGTTATACTTCCTTCAGGACCCCAAAACATTCTTATTTTATTTCAACTGGTCTCTTAACCTTCTTCACAGAAATGTTTGGGGATGCAATTAGTGCACCAGCTATCGACAACCATTCTGTGAGCTTCAGCTGCGGCCGAGGTCATTTCCCTCCACCTGCTCTGAAACATGGCCTGCTTTTCCAGGTATTGACTTTGCCACCTCCTCCATCTCATTTAAAATTTATTTACATATAGGAAACAAATAGAAGGCAGCCCTATAGAATGTAAGATTACCTTTATATTTAATATTTCTCTTTACAGAAGAGCATCCTCAGGAAATTTGCCTTCAGGGAGGATGAGCTTTTGGATACAAATTCTTCTCTGTAGGGAGGATGGTCCATTGACTCAAAAAGACTTTGAGATACTAGCCATGACAAGACAGAGCCTACCTCAAGCTTTTGTTCAGTAACAAATAATGTTTCTTTAATATCATTATCAGGTCATACTTCTTTAGAGAAACACATGTACATGCTTACTAACAAGCACTACATGATATTAACATATGCTGGGTCCTGGTTAAATACTAATTACCGCAATTGAACAATCCATTGAAAGAACCATAAATATTATTCCCACAGCAGAAAGGAAGAAAGGTGCAAGAGAGTTAACTTGCCTTTATCACACCCTATGGGAAAGACTGAAGATTCAAACCTAGGCAGTCTAGTCCCAGGATCTAGGATCCAGCTATTGTTTACTGTAGTAGCATTTCTCAAACTTCAGCATGTCTCAAAATCCCCCAGAAAGTTTGTTAAAATATAGAGGGCTAGGTTTCATTGCTGGGCATTGTGGTTCCATCATGTGTGTTGGGAGCCCTTGAGTTTGCATAGCTAGATAGTTTCCTGATGATGCTGGTGCTGCTAGGTCTGGAGCTATGCCTATGCTCCCCAATGGTCAGCCAAGAACCTTCCATGCCCTACCCTTGCACACTTTGCTTCAGTTGTTATCAGGGATGCTCAAGCCTTGATAGTCTTTCTGATTCTCTCCAGGTGATGCTAAAATGCACCTATGGCAAGAATCCCTATTCTGCTAGGAACTGCTGAACATTAGTTGCACATTGGAATCACTTGGGAAATTTTCAAAACTACCAATGCCTTGAAGTTCCCAACATAAATACCCTGATTTAATTGGGACAGCACCAAGGTTTTCCAGATTCAGCAATGTGCAGCAATGGTATGAAGATGGCTGCTCTTAATCCTTTTCACCGCAGGAGCTATGGATTTTCTGATGATGAGGCCTCAGGGGTTCTCAGTGTTCTTCTCTAAAGCAAGATGGTAAAATCCACCCAGGCCTTGGGCTGTGCCCTAAGATCAGTTGCCTTTTAGTAAATGTTTCTACTCAGGGCACAGATCAGATTCTCTTTCTTTTAAAAAGTCAGCCCCTTTACTAAAAGGCCAAGTGCACCATTCCTAAGATCAAAACATGATTTTAGCAGGCTATTGAAACTCTATCACGCTTTCCCAAATTTGGAATGGTTTATATTACAGAAAGATCCTCTGCTTCACTAAGGAATTCCTGGCGAGTTTTCTTGAAAGAACACTATAAAATGGTATCTGATTTGCACTCACTCATAAATTAAGATCTAGGCCTTTACAAAAATAGCTTACCCAGCCCTGCCATTGGTAGATGCTTCTTTCAAGACATCCATTTGTTCTCACTCTAAGATCTGCTCAGTGCTTCCCCTCTAAGATTCTTTGTTCACTCCACTATCCATAAAGCTGTTGTGAGTGATAAGACTTCAGAAATCACTGAGTCATTTGATAAGACTTTTGTTACCAAAATAGACACAGACAAAATTAAGACAGTAATTCAGGTGAAGTTTCTTTTGCTAGGGGAAAGCTTGCTTCAAGTTATTCATTAGTCTTCATGAAAGAGTCTCAAGACAGTATGATGGATTTCATCCAACAGGTCATGGTAGCTGTGATCAACCGACTTGTGCATTTTTTTAAAATATCACTGTGAATTTTTTCCCTAGAATAAACCTGCAACAGAATTTGTGAGAAAAATTTCCCTCTCCTTAACCAGTATTCCCTCATGTTGCTGGGGTTTGTATGAAGTTTTGATCCCTCTTTTTATTATCTATCCAGAGTGGACTCATGATGATTAAGCTTTGGCTGGAGCTTCAAGCTCTAAACTTAGGGCATAGGATTCAGAGATTAAAATCCTCAGAACTTGGACATGGCTATGACAGACTTCAGACAAGAGCAGGCATATTCAGGATGGTTTGGCCATAGGATGTGATAGATTTCAAATGAACTATGACTTCCACATTCCAGTCTGAAAATTTGCTCATTGTTTGGTACATCATTTCTCAAAGACAATAAATGTTGAGTTTCAAATTGAAATGGTTTCTTTCTTAATTTCTCTTTTGACCCATTCATCATTTAGGAGTGTGTTGTTTAATCTCCATGTGTTCATGTGGTGATCAGGGCTTCTTCAGGTGTTGATTGTAAGCTTCATTGCTTTTTGGTCTGATAGAATGCATGGAATTATTTCAATCTTTTTGTATTTGTTGAGGTTTGTTTTGTGCCCCAGTATATGGTCGATTTTGGAGAAGGTTCCATGGGGTGCTGAATAGAAAGTATGTCCTTTGATGCTTGGGTGGAATACTCAGTAGATGTCTGTTAAGTCCATTTGATATATGGTATTGTTTAATTCAGATGTCTCTCTGTTAACTCTCTGCCATGTTGACATATCTAATGGAGACAGTGGGGTATTGAAGTCCCCTCCTATTAATGAGTTGGGGTTAATCTGGGTCTTAAAGTCCTGTAGTATTGTTTTTATGAAGTTAGGTGCACTAGAGTTTGATGAATATTTCATGATTGTAATATCTTCTTGATTCATTGTTCCTTTGGTCAAAATGAAGTGGCCCTCTTTGTCTTTTCTGATTAGTTTTAGTTTAAAGTCTATATTGTCAGATATTAGAATTGTAATGCCTGCTTTTTTCTTACCATTAGCTTGGTATATTTTTTTTCATCCTTTCACCTTAAGGTAGTGTCTGTCCTTGAATGTGAGATGAGTTTCTCGCAGACAACAAAAAGATGGGTTTTGTTTCTTAATCCATTCACCTAGTCTGTGTCTTTTGACTGGGAAGTTCAGTCTGTTAATATTTAAAGTTATTAATGAAAGATGAGTATTGAAACCTGTCATTTTTATTTCTGTTTACATTCTTCATATAGCTGTACTTTTCCACAGTTATACCTTCATTGCATTTCTTTCCGCAACTCCTTGGTATAGTTGTGGTCACCACCAGCGGTGGCTGCTCCTCCGTTCTCATGGGTGCTGCTCTGTTGTTCTCATGGGTGTCAAGGCTGCTCGAATATTTTGGTCCAGGCTCTTCTGGCTTTCATAGTTTGCACTGAAAAGTGAGCTGTAATCCTAATGGGTTTTCCTTTATATGTGACTTGTTGTTTCTCTTTCACAGTTTTCAGTATTGTCTCTTTGTTTTATACATTTAGTGTTTTAACTGTGATGTTCCGTGGAGAGTTTCTTTTCTGGTCCTGTTTGTTTGGTGTTCTATATGCTTCTTGTATTTGTATGGGCATGTCTTTCTTTAATTTGGGGAAATTTTCTTCCATGATTCTGTTGAAGACCTGGTCCATGCCATTATCTTGGGATTCTTCTCCTTCCTGTATGCCTGTGATTCATAAGTTTGGTATTGAAAATATAGGAAAGGGGAGAGATGAGAAAAATACTAAGAAAACAGAATAGAAGTTGGTGATTTCTTATATTTGGGCATTGAAAGAGAAAATAAAGGTGACATTCAGATTTCTAATTAGAATAAATGGGTTAATTATGAAGTAATAAAGCCACAATCTAATAGCATGCATGATAAGAAAGAGTTCAGTTGTGTGTGTGTTCATGAATCTGTGTGTCTGTGTGTGCAGGTACCACACAACTACCAAGACAGTCAGTACTTGAAGGGTCAAGATTATAGAAACAGAAATCACAGCTAAGCAGTGATGCCTTTATCCATGGTATTTGCAAATTTGTAAGCACTGGTAGAGAACTAAGATCATAACCCATACATTCACTATTTCAAGGAGACAAGGATACAAAAAATAGAACTTCAGAGTTAATGAAGCAAGTGTACTTGATAAACCCTCTGAAGGGCTCCACCTTAAATAAACACACCTTTACCTAGGCCTAAACTCTGCCTCAAATTAGAATAGTCCCAGTCTGTATTAAGGCAGTGGCCTGTTCTCAACCCTCTGAGAGGAGGAAAGCTATTTAGAGTGGCTTTCACATGTCATGTCTAGCATTCAGTCAAAACTTACAAGATAAACTCCACCATCAGACTAACAACTGAAAAACTAAGGGGGTAAAGACAAAAGTAATTCAGATATTAGAGTTAATAGGTACAGACTTCAAAGTGACTTTGATTAGTATGTCTAAAATATGAACATTTTCCAGGTTTTCCCCTTCTTTTTATTAGTTCTTTGAGAATTTGAGTATTTTGATCATACTCACTACCCCCTCCTCCAATTTCTCCAAGGTTCACCTTCCTTATCCACCTAATTTTGCATCTCCCTCCCTCTCTCTTTTAATAACTTACTGGGTCCAATGTTTTTAAAGTATTTGCAGGAGAGGAGAAGGGGCCATAGAGGTTGTGGGAGAAGGTAAATAAGATCAAAGTACATGAAAGTGTGTGTGTGTATGTGTGTGTGTATCTATGTGTCTGTCTACATGTGTGTGTGTCTGTATCTGTGTGTGTGTGTGTCTGTGTCTGCGTGTGTGTGTGTGTGTGTGTGTGAAAATATTGCAATGAAGCCATGATAACCACAAATTACTTTTATGGGGTTTTGTTGGTTTTTTGAGACAAGGTTTCACTACGTAGCCCTGGCTGACCTGGAGCTCACTTTGAGGACTGCCCTGGACCTCACTTTGTAGACCATGCTGGCTTCAAACTTACAGGTCCACCTGCCTCTGCTTCCAGGATGCAGGATTAAAGGTGTGCACCATCATACCAGCTTCATTTTATGTATTTTTTATCAAAAAATGTAAAAAAATCTTCTGCAAAGAAGACTGGAGAGATGGCTCAGTGATTAAGAGCACTGTCTGCTCATGCAGAGGACCTGGGTTCAGTTCCTAGCAGCCATACAGTAGCTAACAACCATCTATAACTCCAGTTCCAAGGAATGTGATGA